AGTTGTTGAATTAGGAAATAAAGATGCACCCACATCATCTCAAATGATATATCCTGAAGAGAAAAAAGTCCCTAAAGTGACACAGATTCTTGAAGGGATGCAAATATTTGCAAATGAAGAAATTTCTATTAACTATGCATGTACAAGAAAAATGTGAGATCACACAAAAATGAGCATTAGTGATGTATTTTCTTTTGTAGTAGCTATGAAAATTTTAAATGATGATGATCTCGAATCACACACAATAAATGAATGCCAACGTCGACATGATTGGCCAAAATTACAAGAAGCAATCCAAGCAGAATTGAATTCTCTTACAAAGCGTGAAGTGTTTGGACCTGTAATCCTAATAACTAATGATGTAAAACCTGTTGGTTATAAATAGATTTTTATGAGAAAAATGAATGACAAAAATGAGGTTACAAGATACAAAGCACATCTAGTAACGCAAGGGTTCCTGTAGAGACCCAGAATTAATTATGAAGCAACATATTCACTAGTAATAGATGCAATTATATTTTGGTATCTTATTAGTCTAGCAGTCATAGAAGGACTCGACATGTGTCTTATGGACATTGTTACTGCATATTAATATGGAAAGTTAAATACTAATATTTATATGAAAGTCTCTGAAGGATTGCAATTACTTGAAGCAAACACATCAAAATCACGCAACATGTATTCAATTAAGCTGAGACAATCCTTATATGGATTGAAACAATGTGGAAGAATGTGGTATAACCGTCTCAGTGAGGACTTGGTAAAGCAATGATATGTTAATAATATCATATGACCATGTATATTTATTAAGAAATCAGAATCTGGTTTTGTTAGTTGATGATATGAATCTGAGTGGAACTCTTGAAGAGTTGATAAAAGCTGCTAAATATTTAAAAAAAGAATTTGAGATGAAATATCTTAGAAAAACAAAGTATTATCTTGGCTTGTAGATCAAGTGTACGTTTAAACGAAATTCTTATTCATCAAACAACCTATTCTGAAAATGTCCTGAAGTGGTTTAACATGTATAAAACATATTCGTTAAATACTTTAATTGTCGTTTGATATCTTGATGTCAATAAGGACCCTTTTCATACTAAGGAAGAAAATGAAATGATTCTTGGTCCTGAAATATCATACCTAGGTGTAATTGGTGTTTTGTTATATTTAGCACAATGTACTAGGCCTGATATAGCATTTGTAATCAACTTGTTGGCAAGATTTAGTTCTGTACCAACTCAACGACATTGGAATGACGTAAAACATGTCATATGCTATCTTTGTGGAATTATAGATTTGTGTTTTTTATACTCAAAACAATCACCTAATGGTCCACAGTTAGTTGAATATACAGATTATGGACACGTATCAGATCCCAACAAGGTTCGTTCATAAACTGGATATGTTTTCACATGTGGTGATACAACGAGCTCATTGCAATTTACTAAGTAGACTTTAATTGCTATATTTTTCAATCATTCTGAGATACTTGCACTCCACGAAACGAGCCGTGAATGTGTGTGACTAAGGTCCGTAGTCCATGACATCTGAGATACTTGTAGGCTTTCTTTGATTACAATTTCACCAACAACCTTAAACGAAGATAATTCTACTTGCATTGCATAAATTAAAGGAGGGTTTATCAAAGGTGATAAAATCAAGCATATTTCGCCAAAGTTCTTTTACACTGATGAACTCCAGCAAAGTCATGAAATTGAAGTAAAGTAAATACAATCTAGTGACAATCTTATAGATCTATTCACTAAAGTTTTACCATCATCAATGTTAAAAAAATTAGTGTATGACATTGGAATGCGGAGAGTTTGTGACTAATCCAATTGATTTACTATCAGGGGAATTATCAGGGGAGTATCCACATCAAGATACATGACATATGCACGTTATACTATTTTTCTTTAGTTTAGGTTTTGTCTCATTGGCTTTTCCTAACAAGGTTTTAATGAAGCAACATTAGTGCGTCTAACGCTATTCTAAGATTTGTCTGAATATATACTCTTTTTCTTTTATTGGATTTTTTTTCCACAACGGTTTTTTAGCAAGGTTTTAACGAGGCATAATATATTAACAAAGTAGTCGTCCAAGGAGGAGTGTTGTAAATATATTGTATATAGATATGAATGAACTCTAACCTACCAATTTAATAGGATAGGTGTTAGTATTTGACTCTATAACCTCTACCTATAGTGTATTTGATGATAATTATGATTTGAGGCATATAAAAGCAGGTCTTACCACAATGAGAAATACACAAGTTGAGAAGTTCTTTTTCTAGCATATATATTCTCTATATTCTTTTTGTAATCTCTATGATTCTCTTATTTTAACAACACGGTAAATATCTGATCAAAAAAAATAACACGGTAAATGTCATGAATTTGAATCTCGGCAACTTCTTTGGGATAAATCATGAGAGATGACCTGTTTTTGACCAGATTAGACTGGGAATTAATTGAGGTATGCGCAAATTGATTCGGACACCCTTGAACTAAAAAAAAGTTTAAAGACTACTTTAGGAAAAAATTTTACTTTGCACCCTGAAAGATTGCTAAATTCTCACTTTACACCCTAAAAGATAAAAATTATCATATTGCACCCTGAAAGAATTAAAACGGTAGCAATTAGGTCCAACACCTAACCGCCGTTGAGTTTACCATCTATTTTTTGATCACGTGCGAAACACGTGATAACATAGAAGGGTAAGGTTGTAAATGAACAAGGTAATCTCTCATGTGAATTGCACATGACACCACCTCGGTGCTTGAAATCGATCAACTACAGCCTTGAAGAGGTAACATGATTTTGAGAGTACTGAGAGAGAAAGAAAGATGAATAGGTAGCATGATTCTCTTCTAGGGATTCACAGTCAAAGAAAGAGGATATGTATATTCTCTATGAATAATTTACAGACTTGGTGGGTTGATTATGTACCAACTTTGTTGCTTGATTCAAAAATTGACGTGGTCGCCGAGGGAGGGGACCAAAGATTTATAGACTCATTGGGATGCACCATGCTATTGGAATCGTATTTTTTGTGTTTGTTTTTCTATTGTGTTTGGAATATGGGGTTCATTCTGGTATGTTTGTAGGTATATTGTTGGGACCAATTTTTCTATGTGGGTTTGTGTTTTTGTTATTTTATTACTATTTTTCTATTGTATTTGCATTGTGGGGTTCATTGCTGGGATGTTTGTGGGTCTATTGTGGGGATCAATTTTTCTCTGCAGGTTTGTGTGTGTTGTTATTTTGTTACTATTTTTCTATTGTGTTTGCATTGTGGGGGTTCATTGTTAGGATGTTTGTGGGTCTACTGTGGGGACCAACTTTTGTCTGCAGGTTTTTGTGTGTTATTATTTTGTTACTATTTTTCTATTGTGTTTGCATTGTGGGGGTTCATTGTTGGGATGTTTGTGGGTCTATTGTGGGGATTAATTTTTGTCTGCAGGTTTGTGTTATTATTTTGTTACTTTTTTTTCAGTTGTGTTTGCATTGTGGGGGTATATCATATTAATAATGTATAGCTTGTTAGCCATTTGGTGGTACATGTAGATCATTCTTCTGAATATTTTACTATCAGATTGCATCATGGTGATAGATTGGAACATTTGGGTGATAGAGCATATATTGGTGGAAATGTCAATCACATTGATATGTGTCATGTTGATGAGATTTCATTGATTGAGTTGGATAGTATGTTAAAGAATACTATGAGATTGTATGTTAAAGAGATTTCATTAAGAGATATTATGAGATTAATAAATTCTATCATAGATCTGAGCATGGATGGAGGGTGTTAGAAAATAATGTGCAGGTTTTGGACATTATCAATTGGCTTGATAAGGATAAAGTAACTGATATTTATGTTGATCATATTAACCAAAGTCAGGTTGAGTCAAAATGTGGTACCATACAACAAGAAGTTGGAGTTGAGACTAACTACGTTCATGAGCAATGTTCTAAATCAAGTGGTGATGGGGATATGAATAAGAGTGACTCATACTCAGAAGGGTTGTCATCAGCCTATGAATATTTTTATGATAGTGAGTATGACATCATTGATGATCAATTATATGAGACNTGGGAATTAATTGAGGTATGCGCAAATTGATTCGGACACCCTTGAACTAAAAAAAAGTTTAAAGACTACTTTAGGAAAAAATTTTACTTTGCACCCTGAAAGATTGCTAAATTCTCACTTTACACCCTAAAAGATAAAAATTATCATATTGCACCCTGAAAGAATTAAAACGGNTTTAACAAGGAGATAAGGAAAGGGGTTGACAAAGGGAAAGGTGTTGATAGTGATAGAGGCACCACAATGGATGTTAATAATGTTATGGTGAAGACTATAACACTAAAGAGTTATTAAGTCTTAGTGGTTCATCATCGGATGACAAGGAAGCAGGAAATTGTAAGAGACAGAGGGTGAAGTATCCATAGTTTAATTCAAAGTCTGATATAGTTGACCCACAATTTAAGCTAGGTATGTTGTTCAAAATAGTTGTTGAATTTAGAGCTACATTTAGGCAACATGCAATAAAATGGGGAAAAGAAATTAGATTCACTAAAAATGAGAAGTCTAGAGTAAGGGCAGTTTGTAGGGAAGGGTGTGATNCAATGATATGTTAATAATATCATATGACCATGTATATTTATTAAGAAATCAGAATCTGGTTTTGTTAGTTGATGATATGAATCTGAGTGGAACTCTTGAAGAGTTGATAAAAGCTGCTAAATATNAAATGATATGTTAATAATATCATATGACCATGTATATTTATTAAGAAATCAGAATCTGGTTTTGTCTGTTGATGATATGAATCTGAGTGGAACTCTTGAAGAGTTGATAAAAGCTGCTAAATATTTANTAATTTACAGACTTGGTGGGTTGATTATGTACCAACTTTGTTGCTTGATTCAAAAATTGACGTGGTCGCCGAGGGAGGGGACCAAAGATTTATAGACTCATTGGGATGCNCAACATGGCAGGAGAAAAGACAATGCAGGTTAAAACTTGTAATGGTGCACACAGTTGCAATAGAACTTTCAAAGTAAAGCATGCCAATGCCAAGTGGCTTGCAGATATGTATGTTGAAAGGTTGAGATCCAACCATACATGTGTTGAANATTTAAAAAAAGAATTTGAGATGAAATATCTTAGAAAAACAAAGTATTATCTTGGCTTGTAGATCAAGTGTACGTTTAAACGAAATTCTTATTCATCAAACAACCTATTCTGAAAATGTCCTGAAGTGGTTTAACATGTATAAAACATATTCGTTAAATACTTTAATTGTCGTTTGATATCTTGATGTCAATAAGGACCCTTTTCATACTAAGGAAGAAAATGAAATGATTCTTGGTCCTGAAATATCATACCTAGGTGTAATTGGTGTTTTGTTATATTTAGCACAATGTACTAGGCCTGATATAGCATTTGTAATCAACTTGTTGGCAAGATTTAGTTCTGTACCAACTCAACGACATTGGAATGACGTAAAACATGTCATATGCTATCTTTGTGGAATTATAGATTTGTGTTTTTTATACTCAAAACAATCACCTAATGGTCCACAGTTAGTTGAATATACAGATTATGGACACCTATCAGATCCCAATAAGGTTCGTTCATAAACTGGATATGTTTTCACATGTGGTGATACAACGAGCTCATTGCAATTTACTAAGTAGACTTTAATTGCTATATTTTTCAATCATTCTGAGATACTTGCACTCCACGAAACGAGCCGTGAATGTGTGTGACTAAGGTCCGTAGTCCATGACATCTGAGATACTTGTAGGCTTTCTTTGATTACAATTTCACCAACAACCTTAAACGAAGATAATTCTACTTGCATTGCATAAATTAAAGGAGGGTTTATCAAAGGTGATAAAATCAAGCATATTTCGCCAAAGTTCTTTTACACTGATGAACTCCAGCAAAGTCATGAAATTGAAGTAAAGTAAATACAATCTAGTGACAATCTTATAGATCTATTCACTAAAGTTTTACCATCATCAATGTTAAAAAAATTAGTGTATGACATTGGAATGCGGAGAGTTTGTGACTAATCCAATTGATTTACTATCAGGGGAATTATCAGGGGAGTATCCACATAAAGATACATGACATATGCACGTTATACTATTTTTCTTTAGTTTAGGTTTTGTCTCATTGGCTTTTCCTAACAAGGTTTTAATGAAGCAACATTAGTGCGTCTAACGCTATTCTAAGATTTGTCTGAATATATACTCTTTTTCTTTTATTGGATTTTTTTTCCACAACGGTTTTTTAGCAAGGTTTTAACGAGGCATAATATATTAACAAAGTAGTCGTCCAAGGAGGAGTGTTGTAAATATATTGTATATAGATATGAATGAACTCTAACCTACCAATTTAATAGGATAGGTGTTAGTATTTGACTCTATAACCTCTACCTATAGTGTATTTGATGATAATTATGATTTGAGGCATATAAAAGCAGGTCTTACCACAATGAGAAATACACAAGTTGAGAAGTTCTTTTTCTAGCATATATATTCTCTATATTCTTTTTGTAATCTCTATGATTCTCTTATTTTAACAACACGGTAAATATCTGATCAAAAAAAATAACACGGTAAATGTCATGAATTTGAATCTCGGCAACTTCTTTGGGATAAATCATGAGAGATGACCTGTTTTTGACCAGATTAGACTGGGAATTAATTGAGGTATGCGCAAATTGATTCGGACACCCTTGAACTAAAAAAAAGTTTAAAGACTACTTTAGGAAAAAATTTTACTTTGCACCCTGAAAGATTGCTAAATTCTCACTTTACACCCTAAAAGATAAAAATTATCATATTGCACCCNGAACGGAAATCCCAAGAATCGTTGACAGCACCTATGTATCGAATATCAAAAATTTTGTTTTAAAACCTTATAAGATGGAATTAGGGTTTACCTTCGAAATCCCTCGGGATTGATCTCATTTCAGNACTATTCCGAAAATGTCCTGAAGTGGTTTAACATGGATAAAACATATTCGTTAAATACTTTAATTGTCGTTTGATATCTTGATGTCAATAAGGNATGTTGTTATTTTGTTACTATTTTTCTATTGTGTTTGCATTGTGGGGGTTCATTGTTGGGATGTTTGTGGGTCTACTGTGGGGACCAACTTTTGTCTGCAGGTTTTTGTGTGTTATTATTTTGTTACTATTTTTTTATTGTGTTTGCATTGTGGGGGTTCATTGTTGGGATGTTTGTGGGTCTATTGTGGGGATTAATTTTTGTCTGCAGGTTTGTGTGTTATTATTTTGTTACTTTTTTTTCAGTTGTGTTTGCATTGTGGGGGTATATCATATTAATAATGTATAGCTTGTTAGCCATTTGGTGGTACATGTAGATCATTCTTCTGAATATTTTACTATCAGATTGCATCATGGTGATAGATTGGAACATTTGGGTGATAGAGCATATATTGGTGGAAATGTCAATCACATTGATATGTGTCATGTTGATGAGATTTCATTGATTGAGTTGGATAGTATGTTAAAGAATACTATGAGATTGTATGCTGAAGAGATTTCATTAAGAGATATTATGAGATTAATAAATTCTATCATAGATCTGAGCATGGATGGAGGGTGTTAGAAAATAATGTGCAGGTTTTGGACATTATCAATTGGCTTGATAAGGATAAAGTAACTGATATTTATGTTGATCATATTAACCAAAGTCAGGTTGAGTCAAAATGTGGTACCATACAACAAGAAGTTGGAGTTGAGACTGACTGCGTTCATGAGCAATGTTCTAAATCAAGTGGTGATGGGGATATGAATAATAGTGACTCATACTCAGAAGGGTTGTCATCAGACTATGAATATTTTTATGATAATGAGTATGACATCATTGATGATCAATTATATGAGACATTTGTTGATAAGGATGTTGAATTTGTTGGTTTTAACAAGGAGATAAGGAAAGGGGTTGACAAAGGGAAAGGTGTTGATAGTGATAGAGGCACCACAATGGATGTTAATAATGTTATGGTGAAGACTATAACACTAAAGAGTTATTAAGTCTTAGTGGTTCATCATCGGATGACGAGGAAGGAGGAAATTGTAAGAGACAGAGGGTGAAGTATCCATAGTTTAATTCAAAGTCTGATATAGTTGACCCACAATTTAAGCTAGGTATGTTGTTCAAAATAGTTGTTGAATTTAGAGCTACATTTAGGCAACATGCAATAAAATGGGGAAAAGAAATTAGATTCACTAAAAATGAGAAGTCTAGAGTAAGGGCAGTTTGTAGGGAAGGGTGTGATTGGTTGATTTATGCTTCCAACATGGCAGGAGAAAAGACAATGCAGGTTAAAACTTGTAATGGTGCACACAGTTGCAATAGAACTTTCAAAGTAAAGCATGCCAATGCCAAGTGGCTTGCAGATATGTATGTTGAAAGGTTGAGATCCAACCATACATGTGTTGAAACGGAAATCCCAAGAATCGTTGACAGCACCTATGTATCGAATATCAAAAATTTTGTTTTAAAACTTTATAAGATGGAATTAGGGTTTACCTTCGAAATCCCTCGGGATTGATCTCATTTCAGNGGACCCTTTTCATACTAAGGAAGAAAATGAAATGATTCTTGGTCCTGAAATATCATACCTAGGTGTAATTGGTGTTTTGTTATATTTAGCACAATGTACTAGGCCTGATATAGCATTTGTAATCAACTTGTTGGCAAGATTTAGTTCTGTACCAACTCAACGACATTGGAATGACGTAAAACATGTCATATGCTATCTTTGTGGAATTATAGATTTGTGTTTTTTATACTCAAAACAATCACCTAATGGTCCACAGTTAGTTGAATATACAGATTATGGACACCTATCAGATCCCAATAAGGTTCGTTCATAAACTGGATATGTTTTCACATGTGGTGATACAACGAGCTCATTGCAATTTACTAAGTAGACTTTAATTGCTATATTTTTCAATCATTCTGAGATACTTGCACTCCACGAAACGAGCCGTGAATGTGTGTGACTAAGGTCCGTAGTCCATGACATCTGAGATACTTGTAGGCTTTCTTTGATTACAATTTCACCAACAACCTTAAACGAAGATAATTCTACTTGCATTGCATAAATTAAAGGAGGGTTTATCAAAGGTGATAAAATCAAGCATATTTCGCCAAAGTTCTTTTACACTGATGAACTCCAGCAAAGTCATGAAATTGAAGTAAAGTAAATACAATCTAGTGACAATCTTATAGATCTATTCACTAAAGTTTTACCATCATCAATGTTAAAAAAATTAGTGTATGACATTGGAATGCGGAGAGTTTGTGACTAATCCAATTGATTTACTATCAGGGGAATTATCAGGGGAGTATCCACATAAAGATACATGACATATGCACGTTATACTATTTTTCTTTAGTTTAGGTTTTGTCTCATTGGCTTTTCCTAACAAGGTTTTAATGAAGCAACATTAGTGCGTCTAACGCTATTCTAAGATTTGTCTGAATATATACTCTTTTTCTTTTATTGGATTTTTTTTCCACAACGGTTTTTTAGCAAGGTTTTAACGAGGCATAATATATTAACAAAGTAGTCGTCCAAGGAGGAGTGTTGTAAATATATTGTATATAGATATGAATGAACTCTAACCTACCAATTTAATAGGATAGGTGTTAGTATTTGACTCTATAACCTCTACCTATAGTGTATTTGATGATAATTATGATTTGAGGCATATAAAAGCAGGTCTTACCACAATGAGAAATACACAAGTTGAGAAGTTCTTTTTCTAGCATATATATTCTCTATATTCTTTTTGTAATCTCTATGATTCTCTTATTTTAACAACACGGTAAATATCTGATCAAAAAAAATAACACGGTAAATGTCATGAATTTGAATCTCGGCAACTTCTTTGGGATAAATCATGAGAGATGACCTGTTTTTGACCAGATTAGACTGGGAATTAATTGAGGTATGCGCAAATTGATTCGGACACCCTTGAACTAAAAAAAAGTTTAAAGACTACTTTAGGAAAAAATTTTACTTTGCACCCTGAAAGATTGCTAAATTCTCACTTTACACCCTAAAAGATAAAAATTATCATATTGCACCCTGAAAGAATTAAAACGGTAGCAATTAGGTCCAACACCTAACCGCCGTTGAGTTTACCATCTATTTTTTGATCACGTGCGAAACACGTGATAACATAGAAGGGTAAGGTTGTAAATGAACAAGGTAATCTCTCATGTGAATTGCACATGACACCACCTCGGTGCTTGAAATCGATCAACTACAGCCTTGAAGAGGTAACATGATTTTGAGAGTACTGAGAGAGAAAGAAAGATGAATAGGTAGCATGATTCTCTTCTAGGGATTCACAGTCAAAGAAAGAGGATATGTATATTCTCTATGAACAATTTACAGACTTGGTGGGTTGATTATGTACCAACTTTGTTGCTTGATTCAAAAATTGACGTGGTCGCCGAGGGAGGGGACCAAAGATTTATAGACTCATTGGGATGCACCATGCTATTGGAATCGTATTTTTTGTGTTTGTTTTTCTATTGTGTTTGGAATATGGGGTTCATTCTGGTATGTTTGTAGGTATATTGTTGGGACCAATTTTTCTATGTGGGTTTGTGTTTTTGTTATTTTATTACTATTTTTCTATTGTATTTGCATTGTGGGGTTCATTGCTGGGATGTTTGTGGGTCTATTGTGGGGATCAATTTTTCTCTGCAGGTTTGTGTATGTTGTTATTTTGTTACTATTTTTCTATTGTGTTTGCATTGTGGGGGTTCATTGTTGGGATGTTTGTGGGTCTACTGTGGGGACCAACTTTTGTCTGCAGGTTTTTGTGTGTTATTATTTTGTTACTATTTTTTTATTGTGTTTGCATTGTGGGGGTTCATTGTTGGGATGTTTGTGGGTCTATTGTGGGGATTAATTTTTGTCTGCAGGTTTGTGTGTTATTATTTTGTTACTTTTTTTTCAGTTGTGTTTGCATTGTGGGGGTATATCATATTAATAATGTATAGCTTGTTAGCCATTTGGTGGTACATGTAGATCATTCTTCTGAATATTTTACTATCAGATTGCATCATGGTGATAGATTGGAACATTTGGGTGATAGAGCATATATTGGTGGAAATGTCAATCACATTGATATGTGTCATGTTGATGAGATTTCATTGATTGAGTTGGATAGTATGTTAAAGAATACTATGAGATTGTATGTTAAAGAGATTTCATTAAGAGATATTATGAGATTAATAAATTCTATCATAGATCTGAGCATGGATGGAGGGTGTTAGAAAATAATGTGCAGGTTTTGGACATTATCAATTGGCTTGATAAGGATAAAGTAACTGATATTTATGTTGATCATATTAACCAAAGTCAGGTTGAGTCAAAATGTGGTACCATACAACAAGAAGTTGGAGTTGAGACTGACTGCGTTCATGAGCAATGTTCTAAATCAAGTGGTGATGGGGATATGAATAATAGTGACTCATACTCAGAAGGGTTGTCATCAGACTATGAATATTTTTATGATAATGAGTATGACATCATTGATGATCAATTATATGAGACATTTGTTGATAAGGATGTTGAATTTGTTGGTTTTAACAAGGAGATAAGGAAAGGGGTTGACAAAGGGAAAGGTGTTGATAGTGATAGAGGCACCACAATGGATGTTAATAATGTTATGGTGAAGACTATAACACTAAAGAGTTATTAAGTCTTAGTGGTTCATCATCGGATGACAAGGAAGCAGGAAATTGTAAGAGACAGAGGGTGAAGTATCCATAGTTTAATTCAAAGTCTGATATAGTTGACCCACAATTTAAGCTAGGTATGTTGTTCAAAATAGTTGTTGAATTTAGAGCTACATTTAGGCAACATGCAATAAAATGGGGAAAAGAAATTAGATTCACTAAAAATGAGAAGTCTAGAGTAAGGGCAGTTTGTAGGGAAGGGTGTGATTGGTTGATTTATGCTTCCAACATGGCAGGAGAAAAGACAATGCAGGTTAAAACTTGTAATGGTGCACACAGTTGCAATAGAACTTTCAAAGTAAAGCATGCCAATGCCAAGTGGCTTGCAGATATGTATGTTGAAAGGTTGAGATCCAACCATACATGTGTTGAAACGGAAATCCCAAGAATCGTTGACAGCACCTATGTATCGAATATCAAAAATTTTGTTTTAAAACTTTATAAGATGGAATTAGGGTTTACCTTCGAAATCCCTCGGGATTGATCTCATTTCAGCACGAACGCAGAACCGAACAACTAGTAACTGAAGGACAGCTCGACGAAGCTCATGGCCTTCTGTCGTATATCCCTCAACATCAGAATCCGGATGCAGTGTGGGCTGCCAAAACCTCCAAACTCCTAGTCTCTCATTCATCTTCTCTCAAAAAACGTGAGTAAAGAATATANGTTATACTCAAAACAATCACCTAATGGTCCACAGTTAGTTGAATATACAGATTATGGACACGTATCAGATCCCAACAAGGTTCGTTCATAAACTGGATATGTTTTCACATGTGGTGATACAACGAGCTCATTGNCAGAATCCGGATGCAGTGTGGGCTGCCAAAACCTCCAAACTCCTAGTCTCTCATTCATCTTCTCTCAAAAAACGTGAGTAAAGAATATATGTTGAATTAGAGAGCCTAGATGTTTATATATAAGCTACGACAGAGACCCAAAAAAGAAATAAGGACCGAGCTTCCNTAGAATCCGGATGCAGTGTGGGCTGCCAAGACCTCTAAACTCCTAGTCTCTCATTCATCTTCTCTCAAAAACGTGAGTAAAGAATAGATGTTGAATTAGAGAGCCTAGATGTTTATATATAAGCTACGACAGAGACCCAAAAAANTTTATACTCAAAACAATCACCTAATGGTCCACAGTTAGTTGAATATACAGATTATGGACACCTATCAGATCCCAATAAGGTTCGTTCATAAACTGGATATGTTTTCACATGTGGTGATACAACGAGCTCATTGCAATTTACTAAGTAGACTTTAATTGCTATATTTTTCAATCATTCTGAGATACTTGCACTCCACGAAACGAGCCGTGAATGTGTGTGACTAAGGTCCGTAGTTCATGACATCTGAGATACTTGTAGGCTTTCTTTGATTACAATTTCACCAACAACCTTAAACGAAGATAATTCTACTTGCATTGCATAAATTAAAGGAGGGTTTATCAAAGGTGATAAAATCAAGCATATTTCGCCAAAGTTCTTTTACACTGATGAACTCCAGCAAAGTCATGAAATTGAAGTAAAGTAAATACAATCTAGTGACAATCTTATAGATCTATTCACTAAAGTTTTACCATCATCAATGTTAAAAAAATTAGTGTATGACATTGGAATGCGGAGAGTTTGTGACTAATCCAATTGATTTACTATCAGGGGAATTATCAGGGGAGTATCCACATCAAGATACATGACATATGCACGTTATACTATTTTTCTTTAGTTTAGGTTTTGTCTCATTGGCTTTTCCTAACAAGGTTTTAATGAAGCAACATTAGTGCGTCTAACGCTATTCTAAGATTTGTCTGAATATATACTCTTTTTCTTTTATTGGATTTTTTTTCCACAACGGTTTTTTAGCAAGGTTTTAACGAGGCATAATATATTAACAAAGTAGTCGTCCAAGGAGGAGTGTTGTAAATATATTGTATATAGATATGAATGAACTCTAACCTACCAATTTAATAGGATAGGTGTTAGTATTTGACTCTATAACCTCTACCTATAGTGTATTTGATGATAATTATGATTTGAGGCATATAAAAGCAGGTCTTACCACAATGAGAAATACACAAGTTGAGAAGTTCTTTTTCTAGCATATATATTCTCTATATTCTTTTTGTAATCTCTATGATTCTCTTATTTTAACAACACGGTAAATATCTGATCAAAAAAAATAACACGGTAAATGTCATGAATTTGAATCTCGGCAACTTCTTTGGGATAAATCATGAGAGATGACCTGTTTTTGACCAGATTAGACTGGGAATTAATTGAGGTATGCGCAAATTGATTCGGACACCCTTGAACTAAAAAAAAGTTTAAAGACTACTTTAGGAAAAAATTTTACTTTGCACCCTGAAAGATTGCTAAATTCTCACTTTACACCCTAAAAGATAAAAATTATCATATTGCACCCTGAAAGAATTAAAACGGTAGCAATTAGGTCCAACACCTAACCGCCGTTGAGTTTACCATCTATTTTTTGATCACGTGCGAAACACGTGATAACATAGAAGGGTAAGGTTGTAAATGAACAAGGTAATCTCTCATGTGAATTGCACATGACACCACCTCGGTGCTTGAAATCGATCAACTACAGCCTTGAAGAGGTAACATGATTTTGAGAGTACTGAGAGAGAAAGAAAGATGAATAGGTAGCATGATTCTCTTCTAGGGATTCACAGTCAAAGAAAGAGGATATGTATATTCTCTATGAACAATTTACAGACTTGGTGGGTTGATTATGTACCAACTTTGTTGCTTGATTCAAAAATTGACGTGGTCGCCGAGGGAGGGGACCAAAGATTTATAGACTCATTGGGATGCACCATGCTATTGGAATCGTATTTTTTGTGTTTGTTTTTCTATTGTGTTTGGAATATGGGGTTCATTCTGGTATGTTTGTAGGTATATTGTTGGGACCAATTTTTCTATGTGGGTTTGTGTTTTTGTTATTTTATTACTATTTTTCTATTGTATTTGCATTGTGGGGTTCATTGCTGGGATGTTTGTGGGTCTATTGTGGGGATCAATTTTTCTCTGCAGGTTTGTGTATGTTGTTATTTTGTTACTATTTTTCTATTGTGTTTGCATTGTGGGGGTTCATTGTTGGGATGTTTGTGGGTCTACTGTGGGGACCAACTTTTGTCTGCAGGTTTTTGTGTGTTATTATTTTGTTACTATTTTTTTATTGTGTTTGCATTGTGGGGGTTCATTGTTGGGATGTTTGTGGGTCTATTGTGGGGATTAATTTTTGTCTGCAGGTTTGTGTGTTATTATTTTGTTACTTTTTTTTCAGTTGTGTTTGCATTGTGGGGGTATATCATATTAATAATGTATAGCTTGTTAGCCATTTGGTGGTACATGTAGATCATTCTTCTGAATATTTTACTATCAGATTGCATCATGGTGATAGATTGGAACATTTGGGTGATAGAGCATATATTGGTGGAAATGTCAATCACATTGATATGTGTCATGTTGATGAGATTTCATTGATTGAGTTGGATAGTATGTTAAAGAATACTATGAGATTGTATGCTGAAGAGATTTCATTAAGAGATATTATGAGATTAATAAATTCTATCATAGATCTGAGCATGGATGGAGGGTGTTAGAAAATAATGTGCAGGTTTTGGACATTATCAATTGGCTTGATAAGGATAAAGTAACTGATATTTATGTTGATCATATTAACCAAAGTCAGGTTGAGTCAAAATGTGGTACCATACAACAAGAAGTTGGAGTTGAGACTGACTGCGTTCATGAGCAATGTTCTAAATCAAGTGGTGATGGGGATATGAATAATAGTGACTCATACTCAGAAGGGTTGTCATCAGACTATGAATATTTTTATGATAATGAGTATGACATCATTGATGATCAATTATATGAGACATTTGTTGATAAGGATGTTGANTGAGCCGTGAATGTGTGTGACTAAGGTCCGTAGTCCATGACATCTGAGATACTTGTAGGCTTTCTTTGATTACAATTTCACCAACAGCCTTAAACGAAGATAATTCTACTTGCATTGCATAAATTAAAGGAGGGTTTATCAAAGGTGATAAAATCAAGCATATTTCGCCAAAGTTCTTTTACACTGATGAACTCCAGCAAAGTCATGAAATTGAAGTANTTATTGATCTTATGAGTCTTATCTCAAAATTATATTCGAACTCCTTATTATTATATGCTTAATAATCTCCTCACGTTTAAGATTAAAGATGTCCATCAATTAAATAAATTACTGACAATTATATTTAATTGACTTCTTTTATTCCTTGAAACCTTACCACTCAATTTATTTGTTATGTCAGATAATTAAATCCACTTGCAAGGTTTGACATGAACAAAACTTATGAGCTTACTCAAGAGGACAACATCAACCCATTTAAATATTAGGATGTGGTTTTCTTTAATATTTAATTTTTACCATATAAACAACATCGTCTCCCAATTCATCGAGCTTATTGACNTTGCAAGGTTTGACATGGACAAAACTTATGAGCTTACTCAAGAGGACAACATCAACCCATTTAAATATTAGGATGTGATTTTCTTTAATATTTAATTTTTACCATATAAACAACATCGTCTCCCAATTCATCGAGCTTATTGACTCAGTATGAATCTCACCCTTTGATGAATTAAAGTGACAAGCATTATATACATCTGACAATTAAATATTTTGGGATTAAGAGCATAAGCAATTATAATAATCATGAGGTATTTATTATTTTATTTAATCAATAAGATAATAACCTCAATATGAGTCTGTTCAATNCCTTTGATGAATTAAAGTGACAAGCATTATATACATCTGACAATTAAATATTTTGGGATTAAGAACATAAGCAATCATAATAATCATGAAGTATTTATTATTTTATTTAATCAATAAGATAATAACCTCAATATGAGTCTGTTCAATACATAAGTATACTAGTGTAATAATTCAAGATATCAAATAGTCTCCTACAGTCAAGACAGACTATGCCAGAATATTACACTACAATCATATCAATGGTGTGTCCAATTCCATCTAGGATTGTGAACAGATACTCAAATTATACAAGGATCTGATAATCTGATTTTCTGTGTATAAGCCGAACTCCACACACCAGATTATCTATAATGTAAAATATAAGACACACATGCATACCATATATTAAATATAATGCAAATATTTTGTTCATATAGATTCTTAATGAAATGGACATAACAAATTTTTATTAATTAATAAAAAGAGTTTCACAACAAAAAACAAGCTTGTAGTATACTACTTTATCAACATGGCCAATGAAATCACTTAAGCAAACTGTGTTAAAAGAACATGTTGTGACCTTAAGTAAAAGCCAAGTATATAGGGGCAAAGCTACANGCACCACAATGGATGTTAATAATGTTATGGTGAAGACTATAACACTAAAGAGTTATTAAGTCTTAGTGGTTCATCATCGGATGACAAGGAAGCAGGAAATTGTAAGAGACAGAGGGTGAAGTATCCATAGTTTAATTCAAAGTCTGATATAGTTGACCCACAATTTAAGCTAGGTATGTTGTTCAAAATAGTTGTTGAATTTAGAGCTACATTTAGGCAACATGCAATAAAATGGGGAAAAGAAATTAGATTCACTAAAAATGAGAAGTCTAGAGTAAGGGCAGTTTGTAGGGAAGGGTGTGATTGGTTGATTTATGCTTCCAACATGGCAGGAGAAAAGACAATGCAGGTTAAAACTTGTAATGGTGCACACAGTTGCAATAGAACTTTCAAAGTAAAGCATGCCAATGCCAAGTGGCTTGCAGATATGTATGTTGAAAGGTTGAGATCCAACCATACATGTGTTGAAACGGAAATCCCAAGAATCGTTGACAGCACCTATGTATCGAATATCAAAAATTTTGTTTTAAAACTTTATAAGATGGAATTAGGGTTTACCTTCGAAATCCCTCGGGATTGATCTCATTTCAGCACGAACGCAGAACCGAACAACTAGTAACTGAAGGACAGCTCGACGAAGCTCATGGCCTTCTGTCGTATATCCCTCAACATTAGAATCCGGATGCAGTGTGGGCTGCCAAGACCTCTAAACTCCTAGTCTCTCATTCATCTTCTCTCAAAAACGTGAGTAAAGAATAGATGTTGAATTAGAGAGCCTAGATGTTTATATATAAGCTACGACAGAGACCCAAAAAAGAAATAAGGACCGAGCTTCCAATGAGCTTAGGATTTCTATGTTCAACCCATAACAAACATCCTACAAGCCATTAATAATAAGTCAGTCCATTAAAGACTTTATTATTGATCTTATGAGTCTTATCTCAAAATTATATTCGAACTCCTTATTATTATATGCTTAATAATCTCCTCACGTTTAAGATTAAAGATGTCCATCAATTAAATAAATTACTGACAATTATATTTAATTGACTTCTTTTATTCCTTGAAACCTTACCACTCAATTTATTTGTTATGTCAGATAATTAAATCCACCTGCAAGGTTTGACATGAACAAAACTTATGAGCTTACTCAAGAGGACAACATCAACCCATTTAAATATTAGGATGTGATTTTCTTTAATATTTAATTTTTACCATATAAACAACATCGTCTCCCAATTCATCGAGCTTATTGACTCAGTATGAATCTCACCCTTTGATGAATTAAAGTGACAAGCATTATATACATCTGACAATTAAATATTTTGGGATTAAGAGCATAAGCAATCATAATAATCATGAAGTATTTATTATTTTATTTAATCAATAAGATAATAACCTCAATATGAGTCTGTTCAATACATAAGTATACTAGTGTAATAATTCAAGATATCAAATAGTCTCCTACAGTCAAGACAGACTATGCCAGAATATTACACTACAATCATATCAATGGTGTGTCCAATTCCATCTAGGATTGTGAACAGATACTCAAATTATACAAGGATCTGATAATCTGATTTTCTGTGTATAAGCCGAACTCCACACACCAGATTATCTATAATGTAAAATATAAGACACACATGCATACCATATATTAAATATAATGCAAATATTTTGTTCATATAGATTCTTAATGAAATGGAAATAACAAATTTTTATTAATTAATAAAAAGAGTTTCACAACAAAAAACAAGCTTGTAGTATACTACTTTATCAACATGGCCAATGAAATCACTTAAGCAAACTGTGTTAAAAGAACATGTTGTGACCTTAAGTAAAAGCCAAGTATATAGGGGCAAAGCTACAACAAGGACAAGAGTTAGTGGCAAAGACAAAGACCAGTTCATGTTGTTATGGGATTACTATGAAGAGTTGAGGAGNTATACTCAAATTATACAAGGATCTGATAATCTGATTTTTTTGTGTATAAGCCGAACTCCACACACCAGATTATCTATAATGTAAAATATAAGACACACATGCATACCATATATTAAATATAATGCAAATATTTTGTTCATATAGATTCTTAATGAAATGGACATAACAAATTTTTATTAATTAATAAAAAGAGTTTCACAACAAAAAACAAGCTTGTAGTATACTACTTTATCAACATGGCCAATGAAATCACTTAAGCAAACTGTGTTAAAAGAACATGTTGTGACCTTAAGTAAAAGCCAAGTATATAGGGGCAAAGCTACAACAAGGACAAGAGTTAGTGGCAAAGACAAAGACCAGTTCATGTTGTTATGGGATTACTATGAAGAGTTGAGGAGAACCAATCCAGGTACTACCTGTATTATCAAAACCAAAGCAGTAGGAGGTGATTAGGTAAGGTTCAAGAAGATATACATATGTTTTGGGGCACTAAAAAGTGGGTTACAACTGGGTTGCAGACTATTAACTGGTTTGGATGGATGTCATTTAAAGTTCCATCAATTTGACATTTTACTATTAGCTATTGGAATTGACCTTAACAATCAAATGTATCCAATTGCTTATGCAATAGTAAAGAAGGAAAAAAAGAAGTCTTGGGCATGGCTTCTCCAATTGTTGAATCAGGATCTATGTATACTTAACACCCATGTATGGATTTTTATGTCTGACAAGCAAAAGGTAAGTTTTAGCTAATGTTTTTGGTTACTTATTTTATTTTATACTTGATGTTTACACTTACTCATTTACTCCTCCAATTGTGCATGTAGGGAATACTTAATGCAGTTGGGACTCTTTTTCCAAATTCAGAACATAGGTTCTGCGTGAGACACTTGTATAACAACTTCAAAGTTGGGCATGAGGATTTAGCTTTGAAGGACTTATTGTGGAGGGCTGCTAAATTTTCAAGAATTGTTGACTTTGGTAATGTCATGGAGGAGTTACAAAGTGTTGATGAATCTGCCTATCAATGGTTGTGTGAAAGGCCACCAATCAATTGGTCTAGGTCCCATTTTAACACATTGCCCAAATGTGACATGCTACTCAATAATTTGTGTGAGAGCTTCAATGCTTGTATTGTAGAGGCTAGGGACAAACCTATCTTAACAATGCTTGAAAATATAAGAGTTTGCCTTATGGAAAGAATGCATTGACTAAGGGGTTCAATTAAGAAGTATAAATGATCCATTTGTCCTAGGATTCAAAAGAAATTAGAAACAATTAAAATTGAGTCAGCAACTTTCATTTCATTCCTACATGGAATGGGGATGAAAAGTTTGAAGTTGTTGGGATAAGTGGAGACCAAGCAACAGTTAACATAAAACATAGGACTTGTAGCTATAGAAAGTGAGACTTAACATGAATCCTCTATAAGCATGTTGTGTCTGCCCTCAACTACTTAGGTTTGTCAACAGAGGATCATGTGGCTGATTGGTACAAGGTTGAAACATTCCTCAAGTGTTACAGTCAACAGATGAGTCCTATTAATTGGAAGGAATTGTGGTCCAAAACAGATTATGCCACTCTCATTCCCCCTAATCAAACCACAAGACTTGATATGCCCAAGAAGGCAAGAAGGAGAGAGAGAGTGATGAACCTACCACTGGTGTGAAGTTGAGAAGGAAATACAAAGCAATCATATGTGGAACTTGTGGTCAAGTTGGTCACAACAAGAGGAAGTGCAAGGTGGTCACAACATCCAGTGGCGTAGATACATCAAGTTATGTAGACACATACCCTCCACATCATGCAGATAATTTACAAGTAAGTTTTTTTTTTGAAACATAATTTTTATTTGCAATTGGTTTATTTTTATTAGCATTAACCTTTGTACTTTCATAGTTAGGTGGTAGCTATGGAAAATACATCACAAAGTGGTTCAAGGTCAAGCCCCGATGCTCCTCAATATAAATCTACAAAGGGAAGACAAAAGTTACCTGTAAGACATGAACCACCTTCTTACAATTAATGGTTATAAAATTTAACTAATAGTTGTTTTTCTTTAGCAGATTAGAAGGAAAAGAAATACATCATGTCCCTCAACTAGCCAACCCCAAGCTACTCAACCACAAACTGCTTCATCACAACCTGTTTGGAGGCCAACACAAAAAACTTCAACACCACCTGTGTGGAGGCCACCACAATCTAGTGCAATACAACATTTCCTACCCAAGCAAATCAAGTCTGCACCAACTCCTACACAACACTCCAACTCATCCAATAAAGTGTGGAAGACAAACCATGTAGTGGGGACACAGTGAAAATCTAGGACTTATTGTGATTTTTGGGATGTATTGTTAATGAATTATGGAATTAGTTAATAGGGGTAAATCTCAGCAGTCACTTTTTATATGTTGCAGCTACACAATTAGTTTTTGTTATGGGGTTGTATCTAATTGCAACTATGTTTGCATGAAGTTAATGAATGGGGAATATACTTTTTTGTTTGAGTGTTATTTTGGGTTATTAAGAAAAGGGATGTATCTGAATACAACTGCAACTGCAACTATGTTTGAACCAACACCATCTAAAAACAAAATCCTTCTTTGCATTACATAATACAAAATCCAGTTTGCATTGCATAATACATAATCCACTGGTAGATTTGATACAAAATAACTCCAACTTGAACACATTGGCTTCCAAAATATACATTAGCATTAGTAGTTTTCATATAAAATAGCTTCAACTTGATCACATTAGCCTCCAAAACAAGTTTGAACCAATAGAAATTCACAACTACTCCAAGCTTGTTATGTTTCCATTTGAAACCTGTCTATCTGGAGTGTGTTCATAATCACCCATGTAGCAATACAAAACCACCATGACAAACCAGGAACCAACAAGGTAGAACCAAAGCATTCTACCCCTTGCTCTGTTTCTCTCCAACTGTTCTTCTAAACGGGTAACATGACACAACAAACCGGGTATAATTTGTCGTGATCGAGTTACACATCGGGGTGTCAATCCATAGAAAGTAAGCTAATGGACCACCAACTTATGATTTTATAATTGATAAAAAATTAGAAAATCACACAATACATAGAGAAATATACCATTTTAACTTCAATTTGTTGTAAAAAAAAATTCTTGTTCAAACTTTATCAGAATAAAAAGAAATTTTAAATACAAAAATCACATATAAAAGTAACAAATATTTCACACATATGGATCTGTACTTGATTAGCTGATTAAAACCAAAAATCTTTTGAACAAAAAGAGAAACCAAAGAATTTTTATGAGAAACTCGGTCAATGAATTACCTCATTTTTTGCGCAACTGATAAACCTTCTTCTAGGGTTTAAATATGTCCAAGAGGTCTTCGTTACAGCTCTGTGGCCACAGTAATATAATGCTTGCATTTTTCCCTCTTCTTCCACCTCCCAAATTTTCTTTGTTATTCTTGCCCTAATTCAATAGCTCTCTACATACAAGTCAACCATTTTGGTCTCAAATGTAGAAGACAACCGCTATACAATATTTGAGCGCCAAAATGGTTCATTGACAACCTTACCCTTCTTTGTTATCACATGTTTTGCACGTGATCAAAAAACAAATG